TGACTCCAATTCAAAGGAAACTTGTATAGGGTTTCCAAGAGTAGCTGATGGTTTGAACCAACAACCTTATGTTTAGCAGTCCAGTGTTTATCATACAGCACCATACCAATGCATACACACTGGGAGTAGGCTTCAAATTTCATGGAAAAAGAGAATTAAAAAATAATGGAATTTTTTTAGGACATTTTGAAACCCAATCATATGTGGAATATTCATGAAGAAATAGTTAACCCAGACCAAAGACTATTTAAAAGCTAGAAAAAAGAAATCCTTTAGCCAACCCTGCTGTTGTAACCATGCAATTCCATGAATTTTCTTGTGAAAGGATTAAGTGGTTTTAATGCTTGATATAAACCACAATACTTTTTTAAGTCCTTGGAGTGATAATTCTTATTATCTTATCTTATAATCACATGGATTATAGATTCCATGAATTCTCAGAAACTTAATGAAATCAAATGTGATGTTATATGTGAAATATTATCACCACTAAATCCTACACCAATGTTGGTAGTTATTTATTTAATGTTTTTCTATATCTGAATTCTAAGAAAAAACGATGATGGTGCGCAACTCAAAATAAGGAGAAACAACTCCAAATATCCATTAATGATTGGAACATGGAATGTATAAAGTATGAATCTATTCATACGTTTCAAATGTTAAATGGAAAGCATAAAGGTCAATATTCTGGACATTAGTCAACTGAAATGTACTAGTATAGACAATTTTGAATCTGATAATCATATGGTTTACTATGCCAGGAATGACAAATTGAATAGGAATGGCATCTCATTCATCATCAAAAATAATATTTAAATATTGATTTTGAAGTATAATGCTTATTATGATATGATAATATCCATGTGCCTACAAGGAAGACAAGTAAATACCACTATTATTTAAATTTACACGCCAACCACTAAAACCAATGATAATGAAACTGAAGAATTCTACCAACTTCTTCAGTCTGAAAATGATCAAACATGCAGTCAAAATGTATTATATATTACTCATGACAGTTACATAAATGTAGGAAACAAAGAGAAAGAAGCAGTAGTTGGAAAATATAGTCTTGGTGATAGAATTAATGCTGGAGGTCACATGAAAGAATGTTGTGGGACCAAAGACTTGTTCAAAGCAAATACCTTTTTTAAACAACATAAGACAACTATATAGAATCCACTTTATCTGATGAACAGCTCACCACATAGAATCCACTTTATCTGAGAGTAGAATAGTTACATATTATCAGCCACAACAAAGCCCAGGGAAGACTATGTAAAAGACCAATTGCTCCTATGCAAGTTCAGGCTGAAGCTGAAGAAAATTAAAACATGTCCTTGAACATATCCCATCTGAGTTTAGTGATCACCTCAAGAACACATTTGATGCATTAGACACTAATGACTGAAGAACAGAAGAGTTGTGGGATGACATCAAGAACCTCATATAAGCCCTTTTTGGCTCTCTGAGCAGCACCATGGCAGTTGGCAAGAACAAGCACCTTACAAAAAGTGGTAAAAAAGGAGCCAAGAAGAAAGTGGTTGATCCATTTTCTAAGAAAGATTGGTATGATGTGAAGGCACCACCTATGTTCAATAGAAGAAACATTGGGAAAACACTAGTCACGAGGACTCAAGGAACCAAAATTTCATCTGATGGGCTCCAGGGTCATGTTTTTGAAGTGAGTCTTGCTGATCTGCAGAGCGATGAAGTTGCATTTAGAAACTTCAAGCTAATTAATGAGGATGTTCAGGGCAAAAACTGCTTGACCAACTTCTATGGTATGGATCTTACCCATGACAAAATGTGCTTCACCTGTTCTGTGTTGGTTTTACTAAAAAGCGCAACAACCAGATTCGGAAAACATCTTATGCTCAGCACCAATGGTTCATCAAATCCGGAAGAAAATGATGGAAATCATGACCCGAGAGGTGCAGACAAATTACTTGAAAGAAGTGGTCAATAAACCAATTCCAGACAGTATTGGAATGGACCTAGAGAAGGCTTGCCAGTCTCTTTACCCTCTCCATGATGTGTTTGTTAGGAAAGTGAAAATGCTGAAGAAGCCTAAGTTTGACTTGAGAAAACTCATGGAGCTTCATGGTGAAGACAGTAGTTCTGGAAAATCTACTGGAGATGAGACAGGTGCTAAAGTTGAACGAGCTGATGGCTATGAACCACCAGTTCAAGAATCTGTTTAAAATTCAGACTTTTATTGGTGACAAATAAAAGGTATTATTTGTGGAAAAAAAATAAAAAAAGAACCTCATACAAGAAGAAAGCAAAAGGTCATTTAAAAGACAAGAAAGAAGGAAAAGACCAAAATGGATGTCAGAAGAGACACTCTGATACTTGCTCTCCAGCATAGAAATCCTAAAGCAAATGGAAGAAATGAGATAGTAAAGAGCTGAACAGAAAATATCAAAGGGCAGCTCAAGAAGACAAAGTAAGTATTATAATGAAATGTGCAAAGACATGGACTTAGAAAACCAAAAGAGAAGAACACAGTCAGCATTTATTAAACTTAAAAAACAGAAGTAAAATGCAAGCCTCAACTTGCAATATTGAAGGATGGTCCCCATGGGTCAGAACCAACTCAATGGCACTAAATAACAACTAATGGGAAAAATATTGAATAATTCAGAAAGTATCAAAAGAAGATGAAAGGAATATTCAGTCACCTACCAGAAATAAATGGTTGATGTTCAATCATTTTAAGACATTGCAGATAATAATGAGTCAATGATACTGAAAGAAGTCTAAAGTACACTGAATCATTGACAAAAAAAAAAAAAAAATGGTTCCAGGAATTTATGAAATACTAATTGAAATATTTCAACAAACTAATGCAGTACTGGAGGCTCTCACTCTAGAAAAGATCCATATTTGTGCTCCTTAGAAAAAGAGGTGATGCAACAATATGCGGAAATCTGCAGACAATATCAATGACAAAGCATAAAAATAAAAGTTTGCTAAAGATAATCAAAAACGCTTCCAACAATATTTGGACAGGAAGTTTGTCTGAGAGTCAAGCTGGACTCTGCCAATTACGTGGTATGAGGGATATCATTGCTAATGTCATGTGGAACATAGCTAAAAGCAGAGAATACCAGAAAGATGTTTACCTGTCCTTTATTGCTTATGCAAAGGCTTTTGATTATATGGATCATAGCAAACTATGGACCACATTGCAGGGAATACGAATTCTGGTATGCTTAAAAGGAACCTGTACATAGACTAAGAGATAGTTGTTTGAACAAGGGGACACTGAATGGTTTTAAATCATGAAAGGTGTATAACAGTATTGTATTCTTTCACTATAATTATTCAATCTGTACACTGAGCAAATAATTGGAAAGCCTGAAGAAGAACACGGTATCAGGATTGGAAGAAGACAGATTAACAAACTGAAATATGCAGATGATACAACTTGCTTGCTGAAAGCAAAGAGGACTTAACATACTGATGAAGATCAAAGACCACAGCCTGCAATATGGATTGCATTCAAATGTAAAGAGAAAAAATAATCCTTGGCACTGGAACAATAAGTAACATCGTGACAAATGGAGAAGAGATTGAAGTTATCAGACTTCATTATGCTTGGATCCACTATAAACATGCATAGAATTAGCAGTCAAGAAATCAATCATGTATAACGTTAGGCAAATCTGATTCACAAGACCTCTTTGAGTTGTTAAAGAGCAAAGATATCAGTTTGAGGACTAAGGTGTGTCTCACCCAACCCATGGTATTTTCAAAAGTGTCATATGCATGTGAAAGTTGGATAATGAATAAGGAAGACCATAGAATAATAGTTAATGCATTTAAGTTTTTAGTGTTAGAGAAACATATTAAAATTACCATGGACTGCTAGAAGATTGAACAAATCTGTAATGTAAGAAGTACAATCAGAATGCTCCTTAGAAGCCAGGATGGTGAGGCTTCTTCTCTCATACTTCAGACATATCAGGAGTGACCAGTCTCTGGAGTATATCATGCTTGGTAAAGTACAGGGTTAGCAAATAAGAATATTAAATGTACCATGGACTGCCAAAAGAACAAACAAATCTCTGTTGGGCAAAGTACAATCTAAATGCTCATTAGAAGCTAGAATGGCCAGACTTCGTATCTCATATTTTGGACCTGTTATCAGCAGCGAGCAATCCCTGGAGAAGGACATCATTCTTGGTAAAGTGGAGGGCTAGCAAAAAAAAGGAAAATCCCCAACAAGTTGGATTCGCATTGTAGCAGCAGCAATGGGCTCAAGCTTAACAATGATTGTGAGGATGGCCCAGGACTGGACAGTGTTTCATTCTGTTGTACATAAGGTCACTGTAAAACAGAACCCACTTGACAATACCTAAAAAAAACCAACACTGTTACAAGCTTACCTTATTGAGATTGTTTTATTTCCTTTAAACTCTGGTTCCTTTTCTAATTTTCAAGAAACAAAAGGTGGCATATCAAATTATGAAATGATTTTTGTCTTTTTTGACATATGATCCCATCTCTGATGAGGCTGGCAAGAATGGGTATTCTCAGCAGTTATTCGGTGATAAACAAGAACATGATTTTGGCTAGTACCTTCTATCAGTTAACAACAGCAACTCAACAGCAAAGCATCACGTTCTGAGCTCTGGATGTTCAGAGCATTTTCAAAATTTATAAGTAGTAGAATTATCAGCTTTTGTATGCTCTATGTTCAAAGAAAAGCTAGGCCTGCTGGAATTTAACAGCATTATAAGAATAATTGGTTGGGAATTCTTTGAAAAGTGCACTGCTACCAGGAACTAGTCATTAAATATTAACTAGTAGCTTTTCTGATTTTTTGTTTTATTTATAATTATTTATACAGCTAGCACAATTGTAGAAATGATAAAACACACTGAAATATATCAATTCTTCCCTCCCTAAATCCTTCTTCTATGCCCAGGTTTTGACATGAGGTTTCAGAAATGTGTGAATGTCTAACTCTTCCTAAAATGGTATTAGGTTTCAATGTTCTTAATTGTTAAGAAGACTATAGTCACTTCAAACTACACTAGGTTAAGAGCAGAGAAGCCTTCCATACTGCAGGAATGTGCCAAATTAGTCAATTGTGTGCCTTAGACTATTCCTCTTAGGTGTGTATCTCCTTCATTCCTTCCTGGAAGAACATTTCCAGAGTACTATTTGTCAATGGTTAAATCAGCTGACACTCTGTTTCCACAAAGAAACTCCCATGTATGAGGGAGGAGGTCATGGAAGGAAGTGTCCTTGGCTTGTTACCTTGAACTAGTCAGTTGGCCACCATGCATGTTAGTTACTTCTTGGTCTAAAATTATCTGTCTTACCCAGTCACATCCCAAATATTCTTTGAAGACAAAATTCCAAATTTAAACATGGTTATCGAACAACTTGTTGGTGTTTTGTTGTTAGGTGCCATTGAATCGATTCAGATTCATAGCGACACTATTCACAAAAGAACAGAACACTGCCTGGTCCTGTGCCATGATCCCAATCATTGTTAAGCTTGAGCCCATTCCTGCTGCTACAGTGCCAGTCCATCTTGTTGGGGATTTTCCTCTATTTTGCCAACTCTCCACTTACCAAATATGTTGTCCTTCTCCAAGGACTGCTCTCTGCTAATAACCTATTCAAAGTATGAGAGACAAAGTATGGCCTCCTGGCCTCTAAGGACCATTCTGGTTCTTCCAATATAGATCTGTTTGTTCTTCTGGCAGTCCATGATACTTTTAATATTTGTCTCTAAAACCATAACTCAAATGTATCAGTTCATCTACAGCATGGGTGGGAAAACTTTTTTCTGTTAACATTTACATCTTTCATGAGCCATACAAAATTATGGAATTAAAAATTAGCCTGCTACAACAATGTGATGGCTGAAGTTGCAGTTGCCTTGGCAGGGCCAGACAAAAGGATTTTCTGGGCCTTATAGGAGTACTGGTATGGCACTGTGGGTTGATGCACTGGATGTAAAGTCGCTTTGAACCACAAGGGCATTGGTTCAATCTGACCATTTGCTTCTCAGAAATCCTATACAGGGTTGCTATGGGTCGGAATCAACTCATAGGCACTTAACAACAACAACAACAACAAAGGACTTGAAAGCAAGGCATTTCCCACCCCTGTTCTATGGTCTTCCTTATTCATTTGACTAACTTTCACATGCATATAAGGCTATTGAAAATACTATGGCTTGGATCAGGCACACCTTAGTTCTCAAACTTTATCTTTGCTCTTAAATGCTTTAAAGAGGTTTTTAATACTTTATGCTCTTAGGACTATCAATAACTTGATGTATTAATAATGATTATTTTTTTTAGTTAACACAGCTATCTGAGAAGTCAAAATATTATTTATTTAAAATGAGGGTAAAAGTTTTGGAGCTTTTATAAAAATTCATTGTATTGTTATATAAAGGCACCCAACTGACTATGGGATAAGCATTGGACAGGTACTCACAGGGTTCAAACCTACTAGCCTCTCCACTGGAGAAAGATGAAGTTGTCTGCTGCTTCCACAAAGATTTACAGTCTCAGAAATCTAATATAGGATCTCTGTAGGTCAGAATCAACTAGATGGCTATGGCTGTTTCAGTCCAATCTTAACTACTGTTCAAGTGTGTAGCCTTATTGCAAAAAATGACACCAAACCATTCCTCCCTCAACACTCTCTATGTCTCATCTTGGATTGATAAGTTGCTGCAATGACCACACAGAACTCAGGCACCATACTCATAGTAATGGGTTTTATTAGTGAAGTTAACAGGTTAAAATTCAGGGTCAGAAATGTTCAGGGCATATTTTCTCCAGTCAGGACAGCCTTTCATTAGTTGTGCCCTCAGGCAGGTTTCTCTGTGGCCTTCAGCCCTTGGCCTGGCCTCTACCATGCTCCAGCAATGTTACAAAGATCTTTAAGTGCTGCTGTTAAATGCCCACAGGACTAACCACACCACCATAATCTTCAGCCTGAAGGCTCTTGGTTCCAACTCTGGGGGCTCACAACTCTGGCACCCCCCCACTCTGAAAGCAAGCTTCCTGCTCAAAGCCACTCAGCTTTATTTCTTCCATGGGCTAGGAAACCAGTGCTCTGTCTCATGATCTGACTCTTGGTTCTGCTACTGCTGTTCCACTGCCAGGCCTCCAGTGTCACAGCATTCTGTCCCTAGGCAAGGACATTCAATATGCAGGAATTTGGG